TATAATCCCGTGTGCCTTATGTATGAACTCTGGTTGTGTTTACTGACCTCGAAACGATTTTATGTGCACGGCGCTCGAAAATCTGTCAAATGTTTCAGTACGACTTTGCTAAGCTACGAAGCCGCACCGCTTGATGGATTGTCGGAGCATTACGGCTATCGTAGGCGGAGCCTCGCGGAGTGATACGTACTGTGCTTCAACATAATGTTACCGTATTGTGTGTGTATAACCTCTTTTTAAGTTTTGTGGATATTATACATGGTTATGCTGAGGATATGTCGGCCAGTTTCCACTGGAAATGCCTTTTGGTTAAACTGTCAGCGAGGAAATTTGCACTGTTACATATTTTATATAACTTTAATGCACATAAAAAACAGCTGCTTGTTTAAGTGAAAATACATTGATGGTTTTTTTTTTTTTTTTTTTTTTTTTTTTTTTGCACTAATGAAGAAAACAAATTTTCAAATGTATATCTGATAAATATTTTTGGTCATATCGCCCTGCTCTAATCCTTACCTCGCCTTTAGAAGATAACATTTTCTGCGAGGCAGATTTGTTCATTAACAGCTTTCTTTGTAATCCGGGTGCATTATGCTTCATTAAAAACATATTTGCTTTTGCACATGAACAGTATATAAATGTCATTTCTCGGAGAAAGGATTTCTGATACATATCATCCCCCCTGCTATTCACACAGAGACAGCAGCACGTTTAACTCAGTGGTGCTTCATTAAAATGACACTTCATCACATATTCATGAGGACTGATGTGAAGGACATCAGCAGCTCGATCTGCAGACTGTCGCACACACTTAGCAGAGTTCACCTATAGACTGTCTGCTCTGTGGTCTGTGTGTGTGTGTGTGTGTGTGTGTGTGTGTGTGTGTGTGTGTGTGTGTGTGTGTGTGTGTGTGTGGATGGAGTAGTAAATGTGAGATGTGTAATGAATAATGAATTTAGGGTGAATTTAGGTCATGCGGGCGAATAGGAGGGACAACATGGGAATAGCTCTTTCTTTCCTCATCTCCGTATACCTGTGTGTGTGTGTGCGTGTGTGCGTGTGTGTGCGTGTGTGTGTGTGTGTGTGTCTGTGTGTTTCGTGCAGACTAAAAGGGAAGTACCCTCTCCTCCGAGCATTTGCTTAATCTCTTCATCCACACGTCCCTGTTCTTTCCTCCAGATCGGAATCTATCAATGAATTAATTTCTCGCTCTGTCGCTCTCCATCCGTCCACCTGCATCGCCTCCCTTTGACTCTCCGATCCCCTCCCACCTCCCCACAGACTGCTCCACCTGCACCCGCCCCGTCTCCCCTCCTCCCCTCAGGCTTCCCTGTGGACGGGCGGGTCCACCTGCCTCTGCCTTTTGAAGCCCTTCAGGTTCTCTGGGATGGCTCAGGACCCTGAAGAAGCCGAGGGGGGCCGCAGAGAGGAAATTGGTACAGTATGTTTAATATTAACCGGCACAGAACAGAAACATGGCTGCCCACAGGGCATGAACTGCCTCTTTACTGCGGTCTGCGAGATTAACAGCAGCTATTAAAATGTCCTGTTTGGGCTTTCAGTCATTAAACATTTTCATTCTTGAGAGTGAGCACTCAGCTGGCAACCCAACACTCAGACTGGAGTCTGGTAATCTCTGTAACATATGTAAGATATGACTACAGGAAGAATATACAGAGACCAGAAGCTTTCTATTTATTTATTCCTGCTGTGTCCGCGTTGCTGCTGTAACAGTGTGAATTTCCCAACACTGCAACTAATAAACTTCTCTTAAATCAAAGAAAATGTCCATCCCAGTTTGTGAGAGCCCCACGTCAGAAGAAAACTTTAACACTTTTAGTTTTCTGTGGAAAAAACAACAAATAATAAAATTTTTGGAGCTTAACTTTTGCTTTATCACCATAAAACCTGCAAAGTCCCCTCCTGCCTGATACATTCATGTCTGCAGCTGATATACAGTTGTGATAAAATATGTGGTATGTTGTGTTTTCTTAAATCTAAGACTGCGCCGTGAACACGCAGGGCGCCGAAACTTGCAGCACTAATCAGATCTGAAACTCTTCCTCCTCGTCCTTCCTCTCTAAATGGACTTCCTGTGCTCTCACGGCTGATTTAATTCAAGTGGTCATAATGTGTCAAATTTCCAGGATAACAAAGAATCGGTGAGAGGTGAACAACACGGTGCGTTTAATGTCATTGTGCACCGGCAACAGCAACTCAACGAGCTTCCTGTCAGCAGAGGTCAAGCAGCTCTAAGCTGCAGCCTCAATAAAGACTCAGAGTGTGTGAAGGAGGCGACCCTCCATCAGGCGCCTTTAGATTAAGACTTGATTCATTAACGAGCTCCGCCCCCTCCTTAAGTCAGTGCCAGCAGGAGCTCCATGAATATTTAAATGAAGAAAGTCTCTGTGGATGATCATGGATTTCTGTTTTTTTAAAACGTCCATGCTGAGGACGAGGCTGCTGTTATTAAAGGAAGTGGAGCATGCTGGGATGTTTTCTTCACCCGTCATTTATTACGTCTGTTTCATTTTTCTGTCTGAGCTCATTACATCATTAGACCCACCCCCACCCCCCATCAGTGACACACACAGACACAACACACACACACACGGCTCCACACACACACACACACACACACACAACACACACAACACATCACACACACCTCATCACCAACATCACACACACACATACACACACACACCACACACCACACAGCTCCACACACACACACACACACACACACACAGCACACACACACAACACACACACACACACCACGACACAGCACACACACACACACACACACACACACACACACACACACACGCCTCACACACACACACACACACACACACACACACACACACACACACACACGGGCTCTCACACACCTTCTGTCCCGCTGTGCCATTTGGCTCATGTATTTTGAAAATACCCCCGGCAGGTAACAGCAGCAGCCCGACAGGCGGGAGCAGGTGTGTGTGTGTGTGTGTAATCATGAGTGATAACAATGAAAAACTAGAAGAACAAGACTCTGACAGTCATAGGAACTGAACGGGGGTCTGTGTCCTCTCTGTGTTTGTGGAGACGCTCAGAAAGACCTGGATCCTCACAAAGAGACAGTGTGTGTGTGTGTGTGTTTGTGTGTGTGCTGGGGACAGGTTGTGTAATTATGAGATGTTGGAGGGGGTCTACATTAGCCAGCTGTCACTCCTCGCCCCTCACCCCATGTGTGTGCTTTAAGAGAAGCCTCGGAGACGGGCCTTGGCGGAGCACTGCTGGTGGTTACACTCACAGATTGATAAGTTATGACACCTCCTGTAACCTCCTCTGCCCTCCCTGTCTGTTAGTATTCTCACTCCGGTGTGTCAGCGTGGAGTCGGTACAGTCGGAGCATCTTTAAGCTGCTGCACCATCACACCAGGCAAAAAGTCAGTATATAAAAACTTGTATTTCCATAATTGTCCACTGAGGGAGTGAATGAGGGAGGAGAGTCATCCAGACCCAGACCCTGTTCATCTGCAATATGTCATCCATCAGTGCAATTAGACACTGACAGCAACACTGGCTCTATTCGATTCTTTGTATTCATCTTCCATGAGCGATGCGTCCTCTCAGCTCTCTGGTGAAAATGACATTTCATCTGTGCGTTGGAGTGACATGAACTCTTGGACAATCTATCTTACTGTCTTCCTATGACTCCAGGTTGTTATTTACAGTTATTTCTTCTAACTTCCTGTCTTTTAAAAAATTACATAAAGCTGTGACAAGAATCTAAAGAGGCAACTGACTTTATATTCAACGCATCTCTGTACTGTGTCAAAGGGACATTAAGTCAAGTTAGGTGCAGGCTGTACTTCAGTGTTGAATTGAATCAGGAAAGTTGTAAGAACCTATTTGCATGAATAATCCTGGTTAAAGGCAGAGCCTCCTGAACAGATATAAAAACATACCCAAAGATAAAATGCTGCCCCCGGTGGTGAAAGCCTTACGACACTTTACAAAATGCTTGTTTGGGATTTGTCCTTGTTAGCAGACAAACAAACTGATTCATGCAAATGCAAAAACTGCACAATGAGCTTTTTTGGCAACATGATACCAAATAAATCAGGAGCATTTACAGTAATTTTCCTGGAGGCATGAATGGTTTGGAGTGGAGGAAACACTGTTTTGGGCTTTAGGATGAAAACCTGTCACAGATGTTTGGCTCATTCGAGGGATCTCCCTCAGTTTCTTTCATTTTTTGCTTGATCAAAGTATTCCCGTACATGGAGCCGCAGCCTGATTTCATGGCTTTGAAGTGGCACAATCGGCTATTTTTAGCCTGGCTGTTAGTTTCAGCTGATCAGCTCGCAGAGGAGGAGCGCATAATCCCCAGCTTCAAGTACAAACAAGAATGTGGCCAAACTCGGAGCGCTGAGGGTTCTTTTTTTTTTGGCCTTCATGTCGAGGCAGCAGTAAGATGATGAAACAAAAGGGAGAAAGCCTGATCCATCTGTGTCTGCTTTCACCCCCCGACACTCCTGCTGTCACGGGTCAGTGTTCAGTCACCAGGCAGGGACAAAGGAGGAGATGTTGAGATGAATGGAAATGCGGCGAGTGTGGCAGAAACACACTCAATCTCTCTTTGTAATGTCATTAGTGGAGAAGCTGCTTCCTGCTGCTTTGATCTGATCTTGACTTTATCGAGGTGACCCGGTACTGTCTGTTCTTTATCTCAGATTTTTTTGGATTCTGTACTAAATTCAAACCCAAAGTGAATTTAAATCTTAGAATTTATTCTCAACGTCACAGATGTGCCGTGGATTCATCGGGATGTGATTTTGGGTCAAACTTTCCCCCTCTGGAATACATTAATATTTGTCTTCTTCTGTTGATTTATGTTTGGTCAAATTAACCAGGTCTTTGCTTCTTTCCCCTCCCCTCCTCCCCTCCTCTTCTCCTCCCCTCTTATCCCTCTTTGTTCTCGGGGTCACCCCCCCCTCCCCCCACAGGCAGCTCCTGAAGAAGCGTTTGTGGAGCTGACGGAGCGAGGAGCGAGCCTCACTCACAGTTGGGCTGTAAAGGAAACAGACACACCCACCAACTTACTGCTGTTTACTCCTCTCAGCTCTCCCTCAGCTCCGGGCGGTCCCTGGAGTGTGTGTCTGCCTTGGTGTGCGTGGGTGTGTGTGTGTGTTTCTTTATGTGTTGATGAGTGTGTGGGTGTCTTGCATCACTTTTGATGGGACATTGAAAGATGTGTGTGTCACAGAGTCGGTGGATGGGCTGTAGGGGGATGTGCTCCCCCGCCCTCCCGCTGGTCCTCCTCCTCCTGCTCCCTCTGTCCTTCCTCTCCTCCACGCCTCCGTTTGCTCAGGGAGCCATCCACATCCCCGAAAGCTGTGAGTACTCCCTCCTCCACCGCACACATCACACACTGGAAACACTGGAAAGTGTTTGTTTTTTCATTTCCAGTAAATATTTCCAAACCATTTCCTCAGAATTAACAGGGCTGGGAAGTATGAGGGAGGGAGTATTTCCATATTTGGCTTCTCTAATCATATCATTACTCTTTGAAATTAAGTGTCAGGTCAGTAGATTTCTGCTGTAGCCACCAACTTTAATTATTTCATACGCACCGGGGGAGGAGTCTAAACTACCCACAAGCCTCTGATGCAGCGCTGTGGAGAAGAACCAGAACTATGGATTTCTTTTTCCTTTAGCCTTTGTCAAGATGTAACGTTCAACATTTGATGCGTTTGGTTGAAATGTTCGCAGAGACGTCAGGTCAGTTCAGGTTATTTATGTCGCTCCAACTCACAAGGACAGTTAGTTCAAGACAGTTTAGACTCTAAAGACCCCACAGTATCCTGTGAAAATCAACCCCTCCCCATACGATCAGCACATTGTGACAGTGGGAAGGAAAAACTCCTTTTTGACAGGAAAAACCTTCCTGTAGAACAATCGGTTGTGGAGTGAGGGGTGACAAAAAAGAAGAAAGAGAAGAGAGAAAAAGAAAGCACAGGGAGACATCGTCTGTGAGATCATAGAGCTCTGCAGTAGCCACAAACTCTCCTTCAGGGTTGTCTCCTCGAGCACCTCTGGACCAAAGCTCACTCTGACCACTGCGACGTCACCACAGACCTCAGACTCCAACAAAAAGCTGCTCACCTTTCAGGCATCTGAGGAAAAACCTTTGATGGAACTGACCAGAAACGTGACGTGTGCTGATAGGGGGCCGTTTAAAGGTGGATCCTTTGGTTCCTGCACAGTAAAGTTCAGTAAAGCTCTGGTGCTGTGTTTATTCCTGTCAGATATGGAACTGTCGAACACATCTAAGCACAAATATAAATCCAAACAATCAGGTTAGAATAACCTCTGGTCCTGGAGGTAAAGGTCAAAGGTCAGCAGGCTTATCACACTCCTAGAGGAGAGGAGGGGAAGCGGGAGTCAGAGGAGGAATCAGGTTCAGTCTGACCTTCGGTGAACAACCTTCTTTCTGGGTGTGGCAGGAGAGGAAGAAGAGAAGGATAGGAGGAGGAGGAGGAGAACGATGGGGGAGGTGGAGAGAGGGGAGGGAGGGGAAGGAATAGGAGACACGGGGAAGAAAAAATAAGGAGATGGATGTAAAGTGACCTGAGACGCCAGTGTGTCTGAGTCAGAAAACCAAGAAGGAAGATAAAATCCCTCAGATGTTGTCACTGTTAATAAAAATCCTGTTAATGAGCAGATCTTGTCCCGCTCGGGGAACAGCATGAAGAATGTGCCAGCATGTGTTTGTTCAGTCTGTAAACGTTTCCTTTCTGCTCTCCTTTCACTGCTTCCCGTGGACACAGATACAAAAGACAACAGTAAGTGATTTTCTTTGTCGCTGTAATGAAGAAATGTGTGTCGTGTCTGCAGCTCTGACGTGCTTCATTGGTAGAAACCTGCTCCGGACGTCTGTTTTTATGCTGCTGACTGTGTCTCGCACCTGCTCACCTGCGCTTTCCTGTTAAATTTGTCAAAGCAGAACATCTCTCCCCCTGCATCACTCCACACAGACACTAAGGAAGAGATCATGTCCTCTGTATTAGCTCATTTAAAACTGATTTAATGTTATTTTGAGTATTTTTCTGAAACAGATGTACGGATATTTGGAGGGCTGAAACTGCCACATTAGTCATTTCATTGTATTTCTGTATAGTTCTTGTGCAAAAGTCTTGGACCACTTTTCATTTCTCTGTATTTCTTGGATTCGGTGCAGCAATTTAATGAAATGTGCAAACATACATAGAAATGAACATGACAGAGTTTGTACAGCTCCAACGAACCTGAGTAAATGTTTGTCATGAGCAGCTTTATTTTTCAGCACAAACTGAACTCTGTCCTTTCAGTATGTTCAGGAACAGCTCTCCACACATTTGAAAACAGCACAGGTCGACCAAAGTGTTGTACATGGTAAAAAAAAAAAAAGCAGAGCAAACACACACAAAGAACAAAACAAAAACTCAGTCATAACTTAAAGCTGGTGAGTAACAGTGTGTTGTCAGACGGGTTTGAAGATGTTGAGTGTTGGAGGGATCCTAATTTGAAGAAAGTTGCCCAAAGTTTCACAAAGGTCTCCTCTGTGTTTCAGCCTGCTTCTAGGGACGATCAGAAGCTACTTATCAGCTGACCTGAGACTCATTTATCTACAAAATATTTTATTGAAATATACAATGTCACAAAATGTCAGACTATTCCATTAAAAACTGTAGTTTTTAATTTTTGCTGTTATTATAGGATATTTATCTTTTTTTATTTTTGAAACAGTGGCTCCTGTTAACCACGATGGTTTTAGAGGACCTGCCAGAACTAAGAATGATGAATGAGCTTCAGTCAATCCCTCTAGATGTGTCTCGATCTGTACGCCCTACTTTACCTGCCTGTACTCTGCCAATTTCATTACTGTGTGTGTGTGTGTGTGTGTGTGTGTGTGTGTGTGTGTGTGTGTGTGTGTGTGTGTGTGTGTGTGTGTGTGTGTCTTCAGTATTTCAGCCTCCAGTGCTGACAGAGATGCCAAAATCACACACAGTGTTTTCTCTAGAAGACTTCAATCTGGCCTGTGAGGCCACCGGGAACCCGACACCCACGTACGTACACCTGTGTGTGTGTGTGTGTGTGTGTGTGTGTGTGTGTGTGTGTGTGTGTGTGTGTGTGTGTGCTTCTCTCGGGGAGACTGACTGTGAAAAGTAATAATAGCAGCTGTAAATGTTACACTTCCTCATATTTCTGTATTTCAGGCCGTCAATCAAAAGGCTGAAAATTTTACATGAACCTGTTTCCGGCTTTGATCCAAAGATAAAGACTCGCTGCTTTATAATGAAAATGTAGATCCTTCAAAATAGCTCACAAATAAATAGAAGCTGTTTTCTTCATTGTGTGATTTAAGGTTTGTTTCTGTGACTTTGTAAACTGTTGATGTGCTGACAGCCGTTCTCCCCTCTGTGCTCATAGATTCCGTTGGCTGAAAGATGGCGAGTTGTTCGGATCTGAGACCGAAGGATCCGGAACGCTGAGAGGCGACAATTCTTCCCTGGATATGTTAGAGGGTGAATACCGCTGCTACGCCTCCAACAGTCTGGGCACCGCCATGACACAAACCGTCAAAGTCAACGTAGAGCGTGAGTCACAAACTTACTGTAAGCACACAAAGGCAGTCAGTGCGCTCTGAGGTTCACACCTGCTGATGCACAGATGTCACACGATCATATAAAATCACACACACACATCAGTGAGTCAGTGAGGTTGAGCGGGGCCACCTGTTCTGCTCGCTCATCTCAAGTTGCCACGGCAACCATTTCCCGGAGACAGCGCTGTGACGTCACTCAGTAGGGAGGATGTACGGTGGGTGTGGAGGATGCAGCCGACAGCTGCGGTCAGCGTGCACACAGACTCAGTAAAATCTCTCCAGATGAAACATTATACTGTACGGGCTCTTGCTGCCCGGGATCTCACCTCCACCGTGGTTTTGATTGCAGTTCAGTTCTTTCACATTTTATTTCCTCTGCTTTGTTGTGAGATTTACTTCCATAATTTGTTGTTTTTCTTCCTCATAGTTTTTTTTCTGTGATTGAATATTGCTGTGTGACTTCCAGAGAACCATTGTTCTCAATTAATTTGGGAAACTTCAATGTTTACAATCAGCTCAGCCAGCGTTTCTAAAGGTTTTAATGACTAAATGTCAGTTTCGACAGGCAGCATGTGGTCGAGGTATTTTTATTTACCCAAAGCACCATCAGAAAGCTGCTTTTAGCAAATAAAACTTTTAAACAATGTTTCAGAGCAAAATAAGTAACTGGCTGATGAAACCTGAGAAGCTGTGCAGGAAATATGAGATTCAAGTGTCACTCTGTGTCCACATGATTGTAAATATGCAGCTATTGTTTCAGGTCCTCTTAATTACAAATGAACCCTGGCATTGTTTTTATATAATTTAGGCATTTAAAGTCTATTATCCTGGAGATTTCCTCCAGTCCACTGTGTTACAACAGCTGTGGAGTGTATCTTCACAGACACTTCACAGAAGTGTATCTTCTTCCTTCTTTGTATTGTTTTATTTTGCGTCACTATTTTCATTGTTTCTTCATTGTTGCACAAGTATTAACTGGTATTCTGCTGCTTTGTGTTTCAGCTCAGCCAGTTCTCATGAAACAACAAGTCGAGCGTGAGCAAGGACTCGTGGGACAGAGTATGGTCCTGTCCTGCAACCCTCCAAAAAGCTCGCCTCCTCCCAACATCCACTGGATGAACATAAGTGAGTGTGCCGTTCATCAGCTGCCTGCCTCTGTGACACACAGACTCTTTATGTCCACTCTCCTCCATTTTTCTATGACTGACCTTCTCTGCCTTTTCAGTTATCAGCTTATTGAGGCTGCGGTGCAATAAAGCGAGGTGCTTATTGTGCATTTGAAGAGCAAACTAACCAATTTCATTTTGCACTGACATGAAAAACATTTTCACCTTCCACTGCAGTTTCCATGCTTTATTTCCCACCTACATTAAACTGTCCCCGTCCCGGCTCAGATTTGATGCACATTACTCGGAGTGAGAGAGTGACGATCGGCCTGGACGGGAAGCTGTACTTCGCAAACCTCATGAGGAGTGACAGCAGAGAGGACTACATCTGCCACGCCCAGTACAGAGAGGCCAGGACTATTCTACCTGCCACTGCTGTCTCCCTCTCTGTCAAGCCGAGTGAGCGCACACACAACGCACAATGCACACAACGTGTTAAATATAGAGATAAGAAAAAAAGTGAGTGAGAGCATCACGCTGTCCTGTGTGTGTGCGGACCGTGATCACGCTCTCTGTGTGAGGTAACATCAGCCAGAACAGTGAGGACGCATAAAACTGTCCTGCAGTGTTGACGCTCTATTGTTAATTATGTCATGCAGACTACACTGTAACACAACTGAGACACCAGTGTTTGTTCCACTGAGTATCGCTATGATGACGCGTATATGCTCAGTAACTAGATCACAGTCGACTAATCAGCCCTGCCCTGTTGGCTATTTGTCTTCATTTCATCATTTATTGTTGCAATAATCAGCATGACCGTGATGATCAAGCTTCACAGTTTCCGTGTCCTGATTTCTGCCTTCACATCGTCCAGGTAACAGCGTGGCTCATGGAGGAAAACCTGAGTTCTTCCATCACAGGAACCACTCCCAAATATCAGCCCTGAAGGGGAACAGCGTCACCCTGGAATGTTTACCCAGAGGCCTGTAAGCATCTCAGTGTGTGTGTGTGTGTGTGTGTGTGTGTGTGTGTGTGTGTGTGTGTGTGTGTGTACTTCCACCTTGTTTACACGTGAAACTCATTTCATGTTTATGATCCTTGTGGCATAAGAATAACTGACCCACCTGGTTCGCTCTTTCAACACACTTTATTCCCAGTTGCTGCTCTCACAACACTCAGCTGTGGCTTTTCTGCTACAGCCACACACAACAACAACAACAACAACCACACTCAGGACCCAGTTACTGTTTCATATTTTCTCTGCTCGTAAGAAATAGGCCTGCTGACCTCATGCAGCCTTGCTCCTTTTTCTTCATATGAAATCATTTGATCTGTCCAGTTTCATTCTAATGATCCTGCTTCCTGTCTATGGCAACAAATGGACTCTCATTATAATTTTGACTTAATGATGAAAAAGGATGTTACATCGTTACCAAGATCATCTGCATGCACTCAGCTCTAATTTCCTCCTGTGATCGATCTTCTGTTCGTCTCCTACCTCACTTCCATGATCGGCTCTCTCTCACAGTCACATCCTTCTGTTCTTCCATGTCCGTCTCTGCAGACCCACACCTAAGGTGGAATGGAAGAAAAAGGATGGTGTCCTGGCAGACACAACCGGCCAAGTTATTAACTTTGACCGCTGGCTCCACTTCGACAACATCACCCTGGATGACGACGGCGAGTACGAATGCAAAGCCTCCAACACCCACGGCTCCATCACGCGCTCCTTCACGGTCACTGTGGAAGGTAGGCCGCTGAGCCGAGCGCACAGACGATCACGATGCTCTGCTGACCGTGAGGACGTGATCTCTGTGTTAGTTTGAACTCTAACGTGTTTGTGCTCCTCTGTCTGAGATGATTGTGAGGAGTCTTTACTGAAGAACATGTGTACATGTTCACAACTTCAAAGGAGCACTTCACTAATTAACATCAACAGGTCCTGAAGCCTGTTCCGAGTTAGAGCCAAATGTTCAACAGACAAGTTCTGACTCTGAGATTTATATTTTAGGGTTTAAATGCTGCTTTTCTTCGTTTTCCAGCGGCTCCTTACTGGATGAAGGAGCCTCAGAACCTGATGTACACTCCCGGGGAAACAGTCCGACTGGACTGTCAGGCTGACGGCATCCCGAGGCCCAGCATCACCTGGAGGATCAACGGTCAGCTGTTAACAGGTACAGCAAGATTCTGACAGACCTGTTTGTGATTCTTTGGGGAGAAACTGTAGCACCTGATGTGTGTGATTGATACTCAGGAGTTATCGATTTCTTATATGGTGCACATGATAAACTACCTTTAAACAGTTGGGGCAAACAGACTTGTATTAGTCTGATGATCAGCACTTTGCAGAGTGAACCGTTCCTTCGGATAACTCGATGTTGATTCTATTAAAGCTTGATGGCCACAGACATAGATTTGAAGGCAGGGCAGAGCGAGCATTTCCTGGCTCCAGGCTGTCGACTTTCTGTGGACAGAGAGCCTCTTAAGCTTAACGTGAATTAGATAGACTCACCAAAAGAGAGAGAGAGAAGTGAGAAGATAGAAAAATAAACAGAGAGTAAGGAAACAAATCATCAGAACAAGGAAGAGGGAGAAATGACTGAATCAAAAGACCAGGGCAGAAAGAACGGACGATGGAAATGAGACAAAGAAAGAGTCCACATGTCTGTATCAAACCTTCTTCTTGATGTTTCGCACATTCAGAGTTTACATGTTACTTATGAAGATGGGCTTTTAGGAAAATTAAAATGAGGAAAGAAACTAAACGCCACATAAAAGGAAGAAAAGGAAGGAATATGAGCACACTGGGAGGGAAACTGAGAAAGCAGCAGAGGGAGGGAAGTGACAGGCGGTGACAGCTGCTGCTCCTCTCAGTGGGCCTCAGCTTCTCTGTTAAACAGTTCTTTAGATTCAGCCTGTTTCTGTTTGACAAACTCTACATTGCCTCCTCGCCTCTTCCCCCCCTTCCCTGTAGAAGTGGATGAAGAACCTCGGCGCACGGTGACCGCAGGAACGCTCATAATGAAAGACGTGAACATTGGCGACACGGCCGTGTACCAGTGTGAAGCCAAAAACGACCACGGCTCCATCCTCCTCAACACCTACCTCTACGTCGTCGGTATGTTTCCCGCCGGGTTCACGTCCTTCTTTGTTCTGTCTCACCTGTGATTGGTTAATGACGGCGTCTCTCCCTCTGTCTCAGAGCTCCCCCCTCAGATCCTGTCCCCTGATGGGTTCATCTACAACGCCACCAAGGGCCGAGACGTCGCACTGCACTGTGAGTCTTTTGGCTCGCCACGACCCCGCGTCACATGGTGAGTGTCACACAGTGTGGATTCTCATCAGTGTAACTAAAATACCCTCTCTGTATTCTCTCTGCTGAACCTTTTCACCTCAGTGAAAATCATTTCTCTAACTACACTGTGCAGAATTTAACCTTCACCACTAGGGGGCAGTATTTTATCAGAAAGTTTGATTAACCAGCCCTGTGGAGAGAACACTAAACCAGGGCTGGGTTTTGATGATCGATTTATCGATTAAAATCGATTCTGGCTTTGATAACGTAAAATCTAGTCATTAAAATCCTGAATCGATTTTTAAATATAAATTTATTTTGCCAGAATCTCAAGTTGAACCTCACAAATTTTCGACAACTACCAAACAGCTAAAACAGTAAATGAGAGCAGGAACACGGGTCCTGCACAAAGACGTAAACACAAAATGCCGACGCATCAGAATCAGTGAGATGTGACTTTCTCACGCGCTGGCACGTACACGGACACGGTCACGCCATCGGGGCTGAAAGCCGACAGCTCGCTGATTCTGAAGCTGCAGGTTTTTATCTCTCCAAACAATATTGACTCAACCAGCAGCAAAAGAAGATCCAAACTATGCTTCACATAAACATCGGCATGAATTGCTGTTTTGCTTCCACCAGGATAAAATCACACTTCATGCACAGCTCTCTTTCTCTCTCTCTCTCTCTCTCTCTGCACTTTCCCGTCTAAAAATCTGTTTTCTGCATTATTCGCTGGCTTGTTACGCACCAGTCTGCCGTTGTTTACAGCCTGTCGGCCGCTGTTTTTTTCCTTTTACTTACTTCGGAAAAGAAAGCCTCATTTCTGCCGTTCAACACTGAACAAATGTAAACTTTAAAATTATGCAAAATTGCAAAACTCTCAGCTGTGTCTGTAATCAAACCGCCGTAACTTTGCTCTGCTTCACCTCAGCAGCATCAGGTCATGTTCATGTGTTGATTAATGGTTTTCTTTCGTTTTTGATCTACTGCAGAATATTTTTACAAAATCCCAGACCAGGAAAATCACCTCCATGTTTTTCTGTTTTATCCTCAGTTACTTTGACACAAAGGCCTCTGCTGTGATGTTCACACCTTTGACAAAGTCTCGCAAGTGTCAGCTTTCTTTTTATAGACAAAAAATATGGAAATGTGCTGATGCGTGATCAGAATTATAATATTTCTGACTGTCTGAGGCAAAATTTCCACGATTCGAATCGAATCAATCAAATTGAATCGAGGATCAAATCGATTTGGGACCTTGAGAATCGAAATGGAATCGATTCTAGAAATCAGCGAAGATACCCAGCCCTACACTAAACCAGAAGAAAATCCAGCATATAGATGGCATCCTAAAGTTAAGGGCTTGATAGAGGAGGGTGCACACTAGTTTGAGAGGTGGCCCTTTCAAACTAGTGTGGTCAGAGGTATGGTTAGTCTTACAGGTGATTATAAAAAGTTGTGCTGTTTTCTGCCATCAGTTTTTTTCAATGTAAAATCTGCCAAGAGAGATGATTTTTCAATGTCATTTAGTCATTTACCAACAGAGGAGGCAAAGTTTGCTAACTGTAAGCAGTAAAGCATGTAAATATGGATGTGCGCATGCATTAACTACCTTAAGTAACTAACAGGTGCAGGACTGTAGAGTCTGTGTGTGTGGACGGGTATTAACATCTTCATGGGGACCAAAAATTGGTAGTTTACTATACTTGTGGGGACAAACAGCCCGAGTATGAAGGCATTTTTGAGACTCAAAATGTGGTTTTAGTGTCAGGCTTACAGTTAGGTTATGATCAGGGTCAGGGTTAGGTGTTCATTTTTGATGGTTAGGGTAAGCAGCCAGGGAAAGCATTATGTCAATGAGATGTCCCCACAAGGATATAAATACACACGAGTGTGTGTGTGTGTGTGTGTGTGTGTGTGTGTGTGTGTGTGTGTGTGTGTGTGTGTCAGCACGAGTGCGTCTGTGATGCTAGATGTGTGTGTGTGCCCGTCGGTAGTGTCATGTGGTGTTATGGTCGCGCGAGTGCATTGGTCTCCTGATGTGTGGTCGTGTGTGTGTGTGTCAAAGTGCATACAGCTGGATGATTTGTGCAGGTAACTAAAAACAGGCAGATCAGTATGTACGCTGTCCGTGGTCCTGAAATTCTAGTGTTTTAATTGCAGTGAAATAAGGTTTTATTACATAAAAAAGGTGATTTTAAACTTTATTAAAGCCTATTTATTGACAAGATCAAAAACAAAGAGCGCATTCAAACTATCAAACTAATTCAAACCGTTTGAGTTGGAGCTGGTGGTTGCTGACGTGAATTAAGTGTCTAAGAATTACAGCAGTTTCTATACACATCCCACATTTGTACAGCAGCGTTATCAGTCTAGTTGTGCTAACAGTGAAAAGACACTGGTCATGAATGAGCCATTGCTGGTTTGGCATCCCCTGCTCTTTACTTTGAATGAAACAGCGCCCTCGTGTGGTTTTGTTTGAAATGCACCATGTCTCTGATGACCTGACCACACCCATTTCCCAAGTCTGAAGAACTGAAAGCAGTCTGCATTTAGTCGTGTTTCCCAAGTCTGAAGAACTGAAAGCAGTCTGCATTTATTTTTATCTCCAGCTGTCGTGTGATTAGATTTGAAGTTCCTGACATCTGGAAACAAATGTACACTTACAGCTATCAGGTTTTTTTAGTTATTTAACCACCAAAACTTAGAAATACTGTTCTGGGTATCTAGAGATCCTTGAAAAAAAAGACATCGAATTTCATTAGAAAACAAATGTGATGTGTTGGCTTCCACTGTGCAGTTCACATTATGTTCTTCACCTCTCTCATCATTTATTGATCCCTTTGTGTTTGTTATCAAGTCACTAATCAGTGAGGATACACACTTCCATCGATCCAGGTCCTGGGACCTGATTCTGCAATCGTATGTTAGAATAAGTCTGCAATGATTCTGGAGACACAAAGCTGATTAGCATATGTAGCGATCAATATCTTTGCTCTGTGTGTGTGTGTGTGTCTGTGTGTGTGTGTTGGTGCGTGTGTGTGTCGAGGTGTTGATGTGCAGTGTTTGTGTGTGGTGTGTGTACGTGTGTGCAGGTGTGTGTTGGTGTGTGTGTGTGTGTGTGTGTGTACGTGTGGTGTCGTGTGGGTGTGTTGGTGTGGTGGCCTGCAGGGACCGGGAGGACACGGGTGCTCTGCTGTCGGACCCTCTGCTGTATCCTCGTGTCTCCATCCTGACCAACGGGACCCTCAAGCTGTCCGACGTCAGCCACAATGACAGCGGCGAGTACATCTGCTCCGTACAAAACACCAACATCTCCATCACGGCCAAGCTGGACGTCTTCCGTGAGTCTCACACATAAAAGTGAAGCTTCATATAAATCTTGCTCCTCTCTGATGGAGCCTGGAATTATTTGCGCTTTATAAAAATCTCTGCTTGCACCTGTGACTGTGTGACTGTGATATGAACCATTTATGATGCAATCATTTTGTTGTAAGCGTTTACAGAAAAAGTCACTAACAAATGTCACTAATTCCTCGTCCTGTGTTTCCTGCGTTCCTTCAGGTCCAAGTGAGATACTGACGCCCCCCCAGGCTGTTCGCGTTGTCCAGGGAAAGAGCGCTTTCCTGGACTGTGACGTCGACACCGATCCTCGGCTGAGGGATTACCAGGTTGTCTGGAAGAAAGCGAATCGGAAACTAGAAGAGACATCAGTAGATGACAAGTAAAAACACACACACACACACACACACATACTGTGCAAAACAAAGCACATTTATATTGCAGCTTCTGTCCTAAAAGGAAAAGAAAGAAAAAAACCTAAAGATCTTTTATTTGGGAGGAAACAGAAGAAATCTCTGGAAGAACAGAGGACTGGTTTCCGAGCTGGAAATTT